TTCTGCTGGTTCCTTTTGCTTGTTCCTGTTAAGTTACACGTCTCACCTTGATGAGACCTGGAGACTCCTGCCGAGTGGCAGCGAAGCTCCTGCTATTGCATAGCTTGACAAGAATTTACAGGTTATCTCAGGATTCATTGGCGTATATCGATGGAAGATAGCAAAATGCCCCTCCAAGCCGAACTGCGCTCATTCTGTTCCATTTCGCTATCAACGAACAATGAACGGCACTAATTCAAGCAATTTATTCATTTCTATCAAAATAACGTAGAGCACTTAGCAAGTGAAATATTCACAAGTGAGAATTATCACAACGAAAGAACATTTGGTAAAACAGTCGAATATAAAAGAAACGGTGATAATATGTGAAAGGTCCTGCATGGAACTGAGCGGATCATCGCAAGCACTGCCGCATTGCTAGAAAACATCTGATCTCGACGACTACGGAGATGCCGAGCAGAATGGCGATTCCGCTCGAGAGGAACATCGTCCACGGTCGCGTGTCAGAGAAGAATAGCGTGAGCGAGCAGATCGTGCAGACAACGCACAGGAAACCCTAAATGGGAGCGATTCTGACTAGGGGCACTGAAGGGTTTGTGCAGCTAAACGTACCGTCCAGACGAGATGCGGGAGGAGAAGATTGTAGGAATTTGTGAATAAAGCGATAAGAGAAATCAGAATGGTGAGAAGCCAAAGAAGAACAACCAGCCAAGCCGTAAACACAACACTTCTGAAGAAGAACTTGAAATAACTCAATAAATTTTCGTCAAGGGCTAAAATCGCTCACTTTGTCTCCTCGCTCTCGAAATGTTCAGCGTTTTTAGTGAGATTAAGAGAATTTTCCAGAAATAAAGTAACTGCGACAAACATCTGAAGAATCACGAGAATAGACAGCGAGCCTTTGGCAGGCGTGTGACGAACGCTCGATGGGCTGGTTTTCATGAGGACAGACGAACAGCTTCAGACAGGAGGGTCAATGGTAGCCGTCCATTTAACAGTGCTGTAGAGTCGAGCAAATGGTAGAAGAGCGGTGAAGTAGAGAATAAGCACAAACCCGACTAGCAGTGGTGCACCAGACACCACCGCCGACGCAATAAGAAGCACAGCTATTGGCCACGATGCAGCCTGAAATAAGGAACATTGCAATTCATGGAGATAAGCCACACAAAACTGATTCAAAGTGAAAAATGTTTGTTGAAGCTACAGAAAAGCA